ACCCCGGGGCCCGTCCCGGCTTCAGTAACGCGGCGTCTTCCCGAGAAGTAACTGGCCGAGCCCGAGTCCGCCGCGTACTGCAGCCTGCCCGACCGCCGGCCGGGCGATGGAACGGCTTTTTCCCGCGATGGCTCTCTCTTGAGCCCACTTGCTGCCTCTGGCAGCCCTCTCCCGAACGCCGCCACCTCGTGCAACACCTGCTTATCTTGTCCGTCTCCTTTCCTTCCGATAACAAGTGCTTGAGCCTGCAGATTCAGGCCTGTGAATAACATCCTGCTACTGGGTCGGGCGAGCGATTTCCTTTCCCCCTGGGCCCTGCTCCGGGCACGGCTCTGGCACGGCTGAATGAGAGCCACCACCTCTCGGCGGCCGCAGCAGCCACCGGGTTCCCACCAGCGGGGCTGGGGCCGTGACAAAGCTGTTGAGTTACCTCAACCCCTGGGGCAGGTGATCCACAGCTCCCAAACCCGCCTGCGTGGACACCCGCCGCCCAGGCTGGGCTGGGCCAAAAGCAGCACGTAGAGTCCCTCTATTTGGAGGTATTTTGCAGCCGGTTGGATACGCTCGAGTTTTCTCTCAAATCTCAAAGCAAAATTCCTTATGTTCCATCTACGTTGTTGGGAAGTGCATGGTCAGGAAATGCCTGGGGCCACCCCAACACCTCCTGCCCTGTCCTACTCCCATGCTGACCTGAGAGCTGCAGCTAGGCTGCTGGAGTAAACCTATTTATTGTTCCTGTGCAGCGAGAGTCAGACATATTTCACAGCCTGTGTAATAAAACGCTTGATGACATGAACGGTGAATAGCCTCACCATTTGTAATCTGAGTTTGTAAAGCTTTCTTGTAGCAAGAGTCAGTAGCAGCCCTGCTTGCCTTCACTCCTTCGGCGTGGCTTTTCCTGCCTCCAGGAAAGCACCTGGTGCACTTAGTATGGGCCTAGGCTTTGGGAGAGCTTCAGTATCCTCAGACTAAATCGTTTCATGTCTTACAGGTTGGCCCTCCACCAGTCAGGCTGGCCAGCCCGACCCGAAGCCTTATTTGAGTGTTTGCCTCTTTCTGCTGCAGTGCAAGGTTAGGAGGGCTCAGCTTTTATTCACGAAGCTGCAGCTCGCTCTCTCCTCTGGGCCGGCTGCGCTCCCGGGGTCCACTGCACTCCTGTCGTGGTTTAATTTCAGTCGGCAACTGAGCACCACGCAGCCGCTCGCTCACTCCCCCCCACCCGGTGGGATGGGGGAGAGAATTGGAAGAGCACAAGTTAGAAAAACTCGTGGGTTGAGATAAAAAGTTTAATAATTGAAATAAAATGATAATAATAATATGATAATAATAATAATACACAAAGCAGGTGATGCACAGTACAATTGCTCACCACCCGCCGACCGATGCCCAGCCGGTCCCCGAGCAGCGGCCCCCCCGGCCAACTTTCCCCAGTTTATGTACTGAGCATGACGTCACATGGTATGGAATGTCCCTCTGGCCAGTTGGGGTCAGCTGTCCTGGCTGTGCCCCCTCCCGGCTTCTTGTGCCCCTCCAGCCTCCTCGCTGGCAGGGCAGTATGAGAAGCTGAAAAGTCCTTGACTTAGTGTAAGCACTGCTCAGCAACAACTAAAACATCGGGGTGTTATCAACTTTGTTCTCATCCTAAATCCAAAACACAGCACTGTACCAGCTACTAGAAAGGAAATTAACTCTATCCCTGCCGAAACCAGGACAACTCCTAATTCCTCAGGGCCTCCCAGGACAGCCAAAGGCAGGAAAAACAGCCATGGGAGGGAAAGCTGGGGAGTGGATGGTTGCTACGGCTCAGCGCAGAGGCAGCTGTCAGGTAGGGACAGGCTGCTGGGCTTCAGTCACAGCTTTTTATTCTTGCACGAGGCAAAGAAATAGCCAGAGGTAAAGAACAGCAGCCGTAAACCACCTCTGCAGTCTCCATATTCTGGAGGTGACCAAGCTCTGCTTGGCCTCAGCAAAAGAAAAGCAAATTGCTCATCAGACTCCTCTTCCAAGCAAAGTAAACACTTTGCCTCCTGCCCTTGAAATGGCTTATCAAAGAGCAATATCCCATCAAAGCCTCTTTCAAACCTGGGCTAACTACTGTTTGTACTATTCTTAACTGGAGGCAATTCGGGAAGGGGAGGTAGGGGGCTTTGATTCCTCTGACATAAAAGCTTTAAAGAAGAGAAAGAAGTCATAGCATCGACCTGTGATGCCGTGGCATACAGATAAAAGCCTAGCTGTCATTTTTGCCTGCAGAGCCTCACCGTGACTTCAATGGCCTGACTTTGGGGTAGCTCAAGCCTGATTTATGAACTGCAGTTTTCCCCCTCGGGTCCCACAGAGCACGACCTTTCCTCCTCCCCAACACCCCACAAAGGCAGGGAGAAAAAGTCGCATCGCTTCCGCGATGGAAGCACGCGGTCTACAGTGATGATTTATTAAGCCCAAAATTTCTGTGCATGCCCAAAGAGCTCACTTGTCTTGACATACAGGAAAGGACACTTAAGCAGTCCGACTTCCTCACAGCCCGTCAGGCGTAAAAGAAAACCGTTGTTCCTGGTGGAGAACTTCAAATTCAGCATCATCATTGTTACAACCTGTTCTCTCGCTTCGCATTCCTCTGTCTGTGCATTAACCCTGGAGTTAGTGTCTGGCTCTTAAAAGAGTTAAATAAGCCGAAAGGTCGAAGGATAGACAGACAAAAATACAAATACATAGACAAAGATCTGTTTAAATTAGAAATTGATATTACTTTTTTCTTTTGCTGCACGTGGAAAAGCACCCATCGGCGTTTAGGCTGTGTGGTGCCCTCTTGGTCTCTCAGGGGCTTTCTGCATATTGCTAGTGCATCATCTTGGCTGACACGGGGTCAGCTCAGTGCGAAGCTACGAAGAGCAGGCCTGCGCGGGGGGGCTCTTGGGCTTACAGCACTAGTATCAGGCTGAAGAAAATCTAAGCTCAGGGAGCAGCTGATCAGAAGAGGTGGGAATAGGTCTGAATGTTGCTCAGCCACGGCACCGTGGCATTTCAGGTACAGACTATAATAACGTGACCATGTATTTGCAACCGATCTCAGGGCAGACTTCCTTCAGAAAGCCAAAATGCCCTAAGAGGTGGATCCGCGAGAAAAAAATAACACCTAAGAGGCAGATTACGAACTGAATTAAGCCAATGAAAGGGAAGTATAACTTCACCAAAATCAGGGCGTTGGGAAGGTTTTTTACCTGAAAGTCCTGAGGTGGGGCTACTGGTGGGCAGATGTTTCTCTGTGGGATGCTAAGTGGGGAAAAAAAACCCCAAAGTCCCTTCTTTCAAACCACCTTCTAGAAACACTATTGACTCTTGTTACAACAAAAGCAACACAAATACCACTTTGCTAATACACACTGAGCCAGACTTAAACATGTCACTGATATTTACTCAACAAATATTGTTAGGTATGTACTCTGATGTGGTTCAAAGAACACTTGTTTATTTAAAACAGATTATTTTAAACCAAGGCTTTCTGTTTTCTTTCTTTTCTTCTTCCTGGCGTGATAGAGCAGCTACAACTTTCTGCTTTCTGACCTTGGCTTCTCGGAGATTTGTCGTAACAGGGGACCGCGTATTTGCACTGAGTCTGCCAGCATGGATTTTCAGGGGCTGGGAGAGGCTGCTCACTTTTAGGGCTTGGTTGTACGGTGAGGAGAATTGCCTTCTGCTCTCACGATGTCCTGAAAACTGTCTGTCCGTGCAGTTGGAGTCTTTCTCCCTAACTATCCGCAGAAGCTGTGTCTGATGTTATGCATGCCATTCCCGGCCCAGTCTCGGTGGGGTGGCTGGGCATCTTGCCCGTTTCTTAGCACTTACATTCATGCTATATCATTGCAGTCTTTCTTACTTACGGTAAACGGCGTCTGAAATAGCCGGCACCACCCACCGCAGGGGACAGGCGCTGGGACTCCGTGTGCACACGCCGAC